CTCCTGGTACCATGCTGGCCCTAGAGCATGTGGAGTTGTCCCCTCTTGCAGCCCCACAGGGGACATTTCCCACCGTGAAAGTGGGAGAAGAAGCCACAGATCGACTCTGCCACCTCACTTGGGATTTGACTGAATATGGTGGGGAAAAGCTCACATCTCCCTGGGCTTTGGGGCTGTAGGATCCCACTGCTTCAGACAGGGACCTCTGAACCCTGGGGATGTGATCTGTGCTCCAGCACCAGGCCCACGATATGCTGGATTCAGCTGCTCACCCTGGGGCCTGCCTGAGGATTGCTCTTTTGCCCCCAGCATGGTGGGATGTGCTGGTCCTACCCAAAGGGACCGATGGCTCTTGAGCATCCCCCTCTCCTGGGCTTGGGGACTGGGCTCGGGCAGCATGTGGAGAAGTCACTTCTGCTGTTCAGGCCGTGTCCTGCCATAGGCAAATCAGCTCAGAGCTGGATGGGAAGATGCTGGGAGCTTCTGGCATCTGCACTTGGGCTGCTGCCTCCGCTGCCTGAGGTCCCGGACCCCTGCCCCAGCAGGGGTACGTTTGACAGACAGCCCTTCTCCAGCCTGCTGAGAGCCATCCCCTCCTCCCTCCCTGCTCAGCACGCAGCCATCCTCAACTCCACACAAACCTTTCCTCCATCCTTGCTCCCCCCGTCCCCCCAGCTTCCCTCCGCCCCGCCAGCACAGCCACCAGGGAAGCAGCACCCCTCCTTGCCTGTTATCGCTTCACCCGCTCCCCCTTCTCCCTCCCTATTGCCAGAGAAAGCGAGAGGAAAAAGTGTCGGAGCGAGGAGTGCATAGCAACAGGATTCTGGGATGAAGAAGATTCGGCAGCAGCATCTCCGGGAGGTGAGAGCCGGGAAATGGGGTGCCCCCCAGGGCTGGAGGGGGGGGGGAGCAGGGGCAAGGCATGCCCATCACCCTGCGATCCCCTGCCTGGGGACCCTCCATGTGCAGCCCACAGACTTTTCCTTGGCAGGGATTGCAAATGGGGATAGCGTGCGTGCATGGGGCCGAAGTGGGATGGGGGGGAGAGGGATAGGGGGGCATTTTGTAACAACTGCTCCTGCCTCGCGGCAATGAGCAGAGCCCAGAGGCCCTGTGCTGTGGGCAGAGCTGCCCGCTGCCTGCTCCGGCTGGCTGGATGCTCTCTCCCATCGCTCCCCATGATGTGATTCCGTGATTCATGTTGTGTCTGGCGGGGTGGCGGTGGGGGGGCGCCCGGGGGGGGGGCGGGCCCCCCG